AGGAGAGACAGACAGACAGACAGACAGACAGACAGACAGACAGACAGACAGACAGACAGACAGACAGACAGAAAAGAGTGAATGTGGAGGCAAACCAGGTGATCCTCTCAAGCTTTACTTTAATCCAAAACAAAGCTTATGCTATCTAAAATTTGCTAATCTAATTGAGTTTACAATCTTCGGGCTATTTCTACATTGTACAGTTTTTCCATAAACCAAACCGTTTTTATGGGCGCAAAGAGAAAGACAAGGAAGAAAATAAAACAATTTTCTAGTAGGTGAGTAAAATAACTGTGCACGCATTGTACTGTTTCCAAATTATAGTAATCTATCAGCTCTTTGATCCCCCTACAGCAAAAAAACCAAACAAACAAGTAAACAAACAAACAAACAAAAATAAATCAAAACGCTTTTGTGCTGTCGAAAAAACATACAATTTCTGTCACAATGAAAACTGATTTATTTGTGTCTAGCATGAGCAGGAGGCTATTTCATACAAAATCATGGCGAAATAAAAGAATATTACGTAAGCAGTCGTACTGTTGCTGTATTAACCAGAACCTAGATTGTCTAAAAGCTTACTTCAGTTGCCTGGTTATTCCAGGAGGATTTCTTAGATTACTGAAGATGGTAGTTTTTTAAGAATGCCAAATCTTTACGACAATTCTTGTTTCTAGTAAGAGAAATGGAGTCTGGGTTCTTGAGCAGAATTGTAGCGAAAAAGAACGGTCCCTTAGTTTTTGACAACAGTGAACGTATAAGCGTAGCCTTTCAAAGCTTTTTGTTTATTTCATAAATGCACAGGCTGCTGTTACTCAGGGACTCTGCTTTTTTCTTTTTTTTCTCTCTTTTTTTCTTTAGTTTCCCTAGACAGATCGTTTCAGTTTCACTACTGTAAACAAGCCAACGACTCTGATACTCTGCTGACCAGTCCGTTGGAGTTTTTAGTTTCTTCCAACGCCTGGGAATGTATGGGGGGAGGGACGTTGAAAGGATTAGCGCAACTTTTGGGTTGGTTGATTAACATTTGGAGTTCGTCGAAAGCAGCGTTGCCACATTTACGTTCTATTTGCAACATCTCGGACTTTTTTCTTTAGAATAATCTTAGTAATTTTAGGAGCCAGAATTTAATGTCAAATCCCTGCCCTGGTCTATCGGAGAAAAAAAAATTAAAAACAACCAAAGTGTTATCAAGGTTTCATTTTGTCTGTCACAGTTACCGATTTGCTGATATTTTTATTTTCTTGTTGTCTTATTTGGTTCTCGATGCTTTTATTTTGGCACGATCTAGGATCCCGTCTTTACTTTTAGGCAGGCTTGTGTTATTATGTAAGTAGGCCTAATTGTAAACGTTTCATGCCACCTTTGAAATGATTTAGATCATTATAATACGGGTTGTAATTAGGCTCTACTTGATATGCAAGGCTTCCCTGAGCGAACTAATTTGGAAAAATACAAGTAAAAAAAGGATGGTAGCATATGCTTTCAATATACCTGCCTAATCTATTGGCTTTTTTCTGAGGGGATGAGGGTGTTAATGTTGTTTTTTTTCCTTTACTTTTATCCTTTTCCTGGCTGTTGAGCTAGAGAGTGAAAGGGATGTCATCATCTTAGACTCAAAACGTTTCTTTTGTCTCACTTTACAAAAAAATGATGATGATGATGATGATGATGATGATGATGATGATGATGATGATGATGATCGATTGATTGATTGATTGATCGATTGATTGAATAATTGATGTATTGATTTATCGACTGCTAAATAATTAAGCTTCTGACCTGTCTTGCACTGAGTCACACTATGCCCTCCTCTTCACTAACTAAAAATACCTCCTCTGTGAATCCTTTCCCATTAATTTTATTCTCACTTGCTCCTATAGAAGCCATCGAGGCTAATGTTGAACCGTATAGTAAACCCTTTCTATATTCTTTTTCAAATACAGATTTTTAAAAACCCTACCCAATACCTGTTTTATCTACCATCTATTCTACTTTTTTAAAAACAAATGATGATGATGATGATGAATGATGATAAAGTCTACGAGGCAAAACGTTGAGCCATTTTAGTGATGAAAAACGTAAAGAAAATGATTATTTATATCTGCTAAACGAAAACAACCTACGATTCTCATTTTCTACCTTACTTTGATGATGATGATGATGATGATGATGATGATGATGATGATGATGATGATGATGATGATGATGATGACGATGATGATGATGATGATGATGATAGACTAGCATCAATTTCTTTATAATTAGCCCCTTGGCCTGGTACCCACTTAGTCACTTCCGTCTAGACTGTAACCACACGTAACCCTAAGACCCCCTTTGTTAGGCCCATTTCCCTGCTAGTATACAGCGCTCATTTAGTTTTTCTCCCAGTTGCTCCTGGGGAAGTCCACGAGGCGAATCGTTGAGCTATTAAACAAATTTAAACATTTTATATCGTTATGTTATTTTGTCTAAAACTAAAACAAGACTCTCCCTCCTACTTTGCTTACCAAGCAATGATGATGATGATGATGATGATGATGATGATGATGATGATGATGATGATGATGATGATGATGATGATGATGATGATGATGATGATACCACACTACACCACTCCGTTGTTGGGCACTTGTCTCACTTTACTGGGTTGGTTTTTAGCCTTCTGGGTTCAAATCCTGGTCTCAGATATTCCCCATTAGAATGTTCTTGTAATGTCATCATGGGGCGATCTTTCTGATATTATGCTATCTTAGGATGGTTTTTTAAATTAATGCCTTTAAAACCCGTTT